CTGGGGCCCCGCCCACACAGTGCAGGGCAGGGTGACAGCTCCAGTGACCCCAGCCCAGGCCCTGCTGCTGCCCTCTGCTGCCTAGAGGGGCTCTGCCAGGAGGACATGGAGCCCCCTCTCCACCCCTGCTTCTCAGGTAGAGGCAGAGGCTTTTTTTTCCCATTTTTTTCTGTTTTTTTTCTGGGTTTTTTTTAAGTGATGGTGCCTAGGGTTGTGGGGTTAGCCATGGGGGCCTCAGGGTGCAAGTTGGGGGATGAGGCTGGATGGGGCAGCCATTGGGGGGTCTGGGGGAGTGGGGGGGGGGCTGGCTGGGGCAGCCATGGTGGGGGCTGCAGCAACTGTTGGGCGGAAGGGACCAGGTGGGTAGTAGCCCCTGTTGGGGCCATTTGGCCCCTGTTGGGGGGCTGTACCCCTTGTGTGGGGTCCGAACCCTCTGTTGGGGGGCATACTTCTTGTGTGGGGGTTGAATCCCCTGTTGGGGGGCTGTACCCCTTGTTTTGGGGTTGAACACCCTGTTGGGGGGCATAACCCTTGTGTGGGGGTTGAACCCCCTTTTTGGGGGGCCACATCCACAGTTTGGGGGGCAAACCCCTTGTGTGGGGGCCATCACCCTGTGGGAGGACAGCAAAACATGTATTCATGAATTCATGAAACATGTATTTAGAGTTCACTTTATTGTTATGATAAGAGACTTGCTTTAATACTGTAAGATATATCAATAAAACGTTGTCCAACTGATCACTGTGTCTGTTTTGCTCTCTGTCTTTATAGTTTTACTTGTGGAGAAACATGGATTTGGGGGTATTTTACAGAGTGACTCTGAGATTTTTTTTATCAGGGATTTTTCAGTTTTCCAATAGGGAACACCAGAATTCCTGCTAGGAAAGCTAGTGGCAGGACCCTGCTTGCTCAGAGCTGGCACCTTGGACCCATCTGGCTGTGGCTGACCTCCTGGACAAATGGGGCCAGGAGGACATGCTTTGACAGGTCAAAGCAGGCCACCACACCCAGAACATCTTCCAGGTGATAGCTGCCCAGATGGCTGGGCAGGGGCACACATGGCAGTAGTGCTGCACAAAGGTTAACCCTGCAACCACAGTCCACTGGCAGCTGGCTCAGAGGGGCAGATGCCTCTACTGGCTCTGCAGTCCCCATCTGAGTCTGGCAGGTGTACAGCAGGTCACAGCCAGGCAGCAGCCCCCACAGCCAGACTGCTGCAGTGGGTAGAGGTTGCAGGGAATTCTCAGGGCTGCTTCAGCAGTCCAGCTGGCACAAGGGGTAGTGTCCCCAGGTACCAATTGGCTGGGCCCCAGAAACCTGAGAGCTAGTAGCCCTGAGCTACTTGCCAGGGCAGCTTTTTATACTGCTGGGGCCAGCACAGGTCCTGGCCCCGAGCTCCAGATTCCCCTGGCTGAAGATCTGGGAGGACCCAGACAGGGTTATTGTGCCCAAGTGGCACAATTTTCCCCGGCAACAAAGTGCATGTCCAAGCACGTGCACTAAAGCAAAAAGCCCCGGCTCAAATTTGCACTGCTTCTATTTGAGCTGCTGCAAGTGCACATGCTTGCATGCGTGGACACGCCCCATGAGATTTCTTTTGGCTAAATCCTTCAATTCAGTTAGGTCAGTCTGAATCCTACCCCTACCCTCCAGCATATCTGTTACACCCCCCAGCTTGGTGCCATCTGCTAACTTGCTGCATGTGCAATCCATCCCATCCTCCAGGTCATTAATGAAGATATTGAACAAAACCAGCCCCAACCTCTGGGGCACTCCACTTGACACCGGCTGCCAACTAGACATCAAGCCATTGACTACTACTCATTGATCCTGACAATCCAACCAGCTTTCTATTCACCTTACAGTCCATTCATCCAAACCAAATTGCCTCAGTTTTCTTGCAAGAATGCTGTAGGAGACAGTATCAAAAGCCTTGCTAAAGTCAAGGAATATCATGTCCACTGCTTTCTCTTTGGTGAATCCATGCTGACTGTTCCTGATCATTTTCTTCTCCTCCAAATGCTTAGAAATTGATTCTTTGAAGACCTGATCCATGCTTTTTTCCAGGAACTGAGGTGAAGCTGACTGGTCTGCAGTTCCCTGGATCCTCTTTCTACCCTTTCTTAAAGGTGGGCACTATATTTGGAAGAAAGTACTAAAGCATGGCGCAGTAGCACTGTTGCTGTA